AGGAGGTGGGGTGCGGGGGGGGGGGGGGACAGTTTTTCCCATTTTTTTTCCTGAAGCCTTTTTTGGGTTTTTCCCAAAAATTGGAAAAATTGAAAAAAGAAAAGAAATTGATTATGGAACATTTTATTTTAACATGATGAATAAAATATTTTAAGACAAGGTGTTCAAATAGTTTCCAAATCATTTCTAAAAAATACGTATGGTATCAGATTAATGTAATTTCTGTGCACTGAGGACAAGCAAGTCCTAGGTTACAAACTGAACTCTCCAATGGATAATGACAGACACAACAGACTAGTTGCAGAAGCAAAGACTGAAACTGATACTGATAATTACAGCTCAGAAAATGATTCTGATTACATTTCATGCCCATTCATTGAAACTTAGTCCCACACTCCCGTCTATACACTCCCCCCCCTTCAGTTCTTTTTATGAGAATTTTTTAAATTATTATTTAATACTGTGGAGAGGTAATATTAATGATTGTTACTTCTGTTTTGTGGAGGTTCTTTTGTCTGTTCCACATAAACTAGTAAATAGTTCAGGAGATTGTTGCTCCATTTGTTACAATTACAAATAAATATTATTTAAAAAGTAAATTCTGTTTGTAATAACTGTTTGGATACACTATATTTTTAATATGCTAGTTGTGATAATTTCATGGCAAGTAAAATTGCCCATAGTTATATTTTTTGTTCCTAAAGTAACAGAATGACTTTCAATCTGGAAAAGAAAAAAAAAGTGCTAATGTAGCATTTTTTTCAATTTTTCCGAAAAATTCCATTTCTCCCCGAAAAAAACTGGAAAAAACCTGAGTTTTTTTCCCAAGCTTCAAAATTTCCAGAAATTTTACATCTCTAATTCCAACAGTTTGTTTTTACTTTTTTTCAAAAACTTGCCTAACCACCCTCCACGATGAAAAATGCCACCCTTCCCCTCTATAAGTGGCATAGGGGAGGTGCAATGTACTTCAAATATTATACCTACTCCGAAAACTAGAAACTGGGGTATGTTTGTGTGAATATTCCTTATCTTCTCCTTAGGAGTGGAGAGCATGTTTGCTTTAAGAAAAATAGGGCACGGCCAGGCTTGGAAAAGCAGGCATCGCTTGCTTCTTGCTCTGCCTGAGATGAAGGTCTTCGCTGTCGGCTGGAAACTTTTGTCAAATTTGTTGGACCTTTAGTTAGTGTGAAATACAATGCAGATTTATGTGAAGAAACAGTCTGAAAAATACACTATGCAAATGTGTAGAATGCTCATAAATAGCACAAAAAAATAACCCATCCCTTAATGTGTGTAGGACTTGCAGATTATGTCTGCATGGTGGGAGAAAATGTATATTTTTACCTAGGGTTTCCTGATATGAAAAATAAAAGAATTGGTGGGAGATACGGGGGGGATCTTATAGTGGTCTAAAATAAGAGGTCTCTGTTATGTTGTTGTATGGATCTGTTCTAGAATAATGTGCTTTCACTTTTTTAAAAAGGAGATTTGAAGACATTTCTGCTAGAGTACAGTTAACTAGGTTTTTTACAATCAATACACAATTATTACTGGAGCAAAGCCTACTTTTGAGAATCATGTTGTATTTCTGTGTGCAATCTTGCTAAGCTTTTGACGAAGTACAGTCAATGTCAAGAGTTAGCCAAAAGACTGAAGCTCTCCACACTTAAAAGTAGCCTTCACTAAAATTACTGGGGGCAATCCAGCATTTGAAAGGCAAGCTGCATGTGCCAAAACTATCCTTGGTTCCAGGAACACAATGCCAGCAGCAACTGAATCCAGATCTCAGGAGCTGCACCCTTGTGGAAGCTCTGATCCTGTACCTATGCAGCTGGCTATGGAGAGGTGATAGAAGGCCACCTCTGTTCTTAGCCGAAGATTCCATGCTGCTCCAGTATAAACAGTTACTGCTGCTGAAAACACACAAGGGGATGGAGACAGGCTATTATTCAGGAAAAGGGGTATCTTCTGTTGCTGGATGTGTGTGGATATGTTAGGGGTCTTACTAGTAGGGCTATTTTTGGGCAGGAACGCACAGGAACGGAGTTCCGGCTGGCTCCCGAGTTGGCCACGCCCAGCAGGAACTCATTAGCATAATAGGCCACACCCAACAGCAGAAACTCATTAGGATTGGCTACATTAGGGGTGTGTGGCCTAACATGCAAAAGAGTTCCTGCTACAAAACAAGCCCTGGGTTTTGACAACAAACAAGGTAAACAGAATAACAAGCAAAAGGTGGGTGTGGCTGGAGAACCACACTTCTGGTAACATGGGGGTGCGGCCTAATGAGCTGTGCTGTCAGGCGTGTGGCCGAATATGCTAATGAGTTTATGCTGTTGGGTGTGGCCTATTATGCTAATGAGTTCCTGCTGGGCTTTTTCTACAAAAAGAGCCCTGCTTACTAGTGTGGAGATCCAGGGGGTCTGAGACTGCTTTGTTCTTTCTGTCCGTCTCCATGGTTCTAGCCAAAACCCCAGGGTTGACAAAGGCACCAGATGCAGAGAGGGGAGGGGGTTAACCATGCTTCATTCCTGTTGCTCTCAAGGGGAAGGGCACAACTGGCAATCCGGAGCATCGTATTAGTCAGCTCAGAAGATTTTAAAAAACCCAGAAACACTATTACCATCACAATTAATTTATCCACTGTAATATACTTATTAACTTTTATCTGATAATTCCAAATAACTTTCGATCCTTACTCCGTGGTAATTGAATTTGAAACCACTGCAACAATTATATAATGAATATATTAAGCTACACTATCCTGTTTTCAAACAACACTCATCGCCATTTATACAATTGTCAATAAATACCGCACTGGTAACTATCTCATGTTTTACATTCACAATACATAGCTCAGAGGAAAGTCACAAATCATTTAAAGGAGCCTCTCCACACATTTCATTCCTAGTACAAACAGCACTTTCAGCAAGTGGAGCTGTTTGTACTAGGAATGAAATGTGTGGAGCGGCTCCTTTAAATGATCAGTGACTTTCGTCTGAGCTATGTATTGTGAATGTAAAACATATGAGATTGTTACCAGTGCTGTTTGTTATTGAAAATAGTATAAATGGTGATGAGTGTTGTTTGAAAACAGGATAGTGTAGCTTAATATTTGTGGCAGTGGTTTCAAATTGCCCTTTGCCCATGGGCTTGAGTAAGGATTGAATGTTTTTGAAATTATCAGATAATGGTTTTTCATAAGGATATTACATTGGCTACATTAATTGTGATGGTAATAGTGTTTCCAGGTTTTTTTTTCTTTTTTACCCTACACTGGAAATTTTCCTGTTGTATTTCAATACTGAACCTTGCCAGAATAGAGTCCCATGGAAGTCAACAAACTGGGTCGACACACAGACATTATAAAGTCTTAGCCGTTGCAGACAGACCTGCTAGTAAAATAGTTCCCCAAGACCACCTCTTGTTTTCTCTCATTCTAGCTCTTAACTGTCTCTCCTTTTCTAGTTCTTGTGGCCAACTCCAGTATTTATCCAGCCAATATCCCTGCTCCTCTTGAGAATGTTCTGTGATTACTCCAGACTGCAAACGGGGCATGAGTTACCTTCCACTACCCCAAAGTTTCAAGCACAAAGGAAGAAAGAGCAGGGCTGCCTATCTCTTCCTTGCTCATTCTAAAATATATTTGATGCTAATGGAAACCAAAAGAAAATCCTCCCAGGCTGCAAATGACAAGCCAGATCCAAGTTTGTGATGGTCTGAGTTTGTAAAAGCAGAAGGTTGAATGTAGAAAAAGTCCAGCAGGAACTAATTAGCATAATAGGCCACACCAGCAACAGGAACTCATTAGCATATTAGGCCACACCCCTGACTGCACCACTCATTAGCATGTTAGGCCACAACCACATTACCAGACGTGTGGTCATCCAGCCATACCCACCTTTTGCTTCTTATTCTGTTTACCTTGTTTGTTGTCAAAACCCAGGGCCTTTTTTTGTTGCAGGAACTCCTTTGCATGTTAGGCCACACACCCCTAATGTAGCCAATCCTAATGAGCTCCTGCTGTTGGGTGTGGCCTATTATGCTAATGAGTTCCTGCTGGGTGTGGCCAACTTGGGAGCCAGCCGGAACTCCG